CACAAATCTGGAATGAACTTCACAATTAATGAAAAATAGCGGGGATTAAATTTAATAAATAAAAACAAGTAACTCTTTAAAACTGGTTAACAGGCATTTTTGGAAAATTATGATAACATGTTTTTTGAAAAATTGCATTATCTTAAATAAAACACTGAAAGTTATAGTGGCTGCCTGGTCTATTAAGTATTAAGTAATAACTTATGACATCCTGTGAACTGTCATGGAACCATGCTGAACATAATGTCACTCTGGAATTGTCAATATCTCATGTTGCCACTGTCACTAATATTAACTAATAAGTCAATATTAGTGAACTTACCCGGTTTAATAATCAATAGCATTATATTAAGGTCATTGTATGAAAATAATTATAATCCAGAACTGACAGGAGTTTGTCAGTACTGACACACCATGGCCACCTAGTGTCAGTTGTAGTGGCACCTAGTGGTAGCTATTATCAGCTGTTGCAGAAGAGGTCCCATCTGACATGCGGTCAGTGCAGGTGTTGTCTTTCTATGCTAAGTCGGATCACCAGCTGTATGTTTAAATATGTATGAAAATTATGTTTTAATTAAGATATATTTTATTTCTATTTGTTTGAACTAAAGTTATTCATACATTCTATCTGAAAGAGATAGAATGAGGTCACAGCAGCCTGTGGCACCCATGGCCACTTGTGCCACCTTACTTGTGCCACTTGTACCACCTTACCTGGTGGTAAGGCGGCACCTGGTAAGGTGGCACAGCAGCCCGTGGCCATGGGTGCCACGGGCTGCTGTGACCTCATTCTATCTGTTTCAGATAGAATGTAGCATATGAATAACTTTAGTTCAAACAAACAGAATAAAGTGACCACCTTACCACTGGGTAAGATGGCACAAGTGGCACCTTACGGCAGCTGTCAACATGTTTTCACTGAGGCTCTTTATTGGAAACTGAAATTTGAGACTGTATCCAAAATAGACCAGGGCGTATTTGCTTTTTTGAGGGAACACAACACTTAAGAGGAAATGCAATACTTTGTGAATTATAAATTCATTCATATTAAATCTGACACAGAAGCTGTCACCAAAGAATATTCTATTCCTATTCTATTGTTTTCCCCACTAAGCGTATTTAAATATGCTGAACTATGTATAATACAGTTAAAAAATACTTTAAAAATACAATTGTTTATAAATGTGTCTGTTTGTGTAGGGTCTCCAGTAATAAAACAGCGTATTATGAAAGATTAAATGCGCAAATTCGTCATTGTGCCTGCCAAACGTATAACGCTGAGTGGAGCGGTCGACTGCTCTAAGATGGCTGCCCTAAATCTCGTCAGCGACAATAGGCGAGAGTGGTCCATGAGGCGTTGGAGGTGCCAGTATGAGGTTGCGGCAACCCTTGGAAGGTGCTGAAGGCAGCTGAAGCCAGTGGCAACACTGACAGCTAGCCCCGAAAACAGTGGCAGCCGTGACACCTGCCACCGGAAGTGCCATGGTAGGTGCGGTGTCACGATTTGCGCCTGCTGTTTCTCCGTAATGCTGCAGTCGTATTGTTGTTGGCTGTAATAGTAAATCTGTTAGCTGGAGTAGTAAAGCCATTAACTGCAGTGAAGCTGTTATGTGGCACATCATGCAGTAGTAAATATGTTAGCTGCAGTGAAGCCTCTGGCTGCAGCAGTAAAGCTGTTAGCTGCAGTAGTAAAGCGGTTTGCTGCTGTCTCATTCACTATGAGCTCTGTTTCAGTTCTATATGAAGGCAGGGGCCGTCATTCAGGAGGATATTTCTGAGGCATCTCTGATTGTTGGAGTGAAGAGGCCCCCGGAGGAGAAGGTCATCCCCAGGAAGACGTATGCTTTCTTCTCCCATACCATCAAAGCTCAGGAGGCCAACATGGGTCTGCTGGATGACCTGCTCAACAAGGTCAATTACACACTGTTCTTCCTCTTAACTACTGTAGCCTATTAAGTACTCTGTGTTTACAAAGAAATATGCTTTTGTCAAATATCAAGGACAATCTCAAAGTCTTTTATCAGTTATGTGTGCCAAAGCTTCACACTTCTAACCCAACACACACTTCTCCTCAACAAACTTCCCTGTTCAATCTTTAAAGGGATCCATGGTTAATTTGCCTGTAGATGTAAATTCTGTATTAAATTTTGTATGTACTGTATTTTCCGGACCGCAAGGCGCACCGGATTATAAGACGCATGCTAAAACATACGGTCAACAAAAAAAAAGGTAACGGAAACAAAAAAATAACTTTAGTTGAACTTTATTCGACTATGTAACAATACACTCACATTATTTTTTATTCTTCTTCCTCAAATCCATCAAAGTCCTCCTCTTCTGTATCTGAATTGAACAGCTGGGCAATTTCGCCATCAAACATGCCAGGTTCCCTCTCATCATTGTCAGAGTCAGTCTTGTTGCCAGGTGGCGGTTCAGCAATGATGCCGGCTTTCGCGAAAGCTTGGACAACCGTTAAGGCAGATACATTAACCCAGGCAACCACCATCCATTCACACACGGTGGCGTAACTCACCCGGCGCTGCCTCTCCATCTTAGTAAACGTGTGTTTGCTGTCTGTCATCCATCGCTCCCACGCCGCTTGTAACTTCTTTTTGAACGCCCTGTTTACACCAATGTCCAGCGGTTGGAGTTCTTTTGTTAATCCTCCCGGAATGACAGCAAACTCTGAATTAGTTTGCTTCACTTCCTTTTTCACAGTAGCAGTGAGATGGGCGCGCATGGAGTCGCAGATGAACAGGGACGGTGATGTGTGGAAAAACCTATCTGGTTTTTACCAGAGGCGTATGCTGCAGAACTCAGACAACAATTCTCTGATTGGGTTATCACTGCCATTGTACGTACTGTACACTTTACGTCTCTGTGTCAGGGACAGATTTTGGAATTCAGTCCACACATAAGGCGCACCGGATTATAAGGCGCACTGCTGATTTTTGAGAAAATTTAAGGCTTTTAGGTGCCTTATAGTCCGGAAAATACTGTGATACAAATAAACTCCTAATTACTTAAAACAATTAAAAGTATTTTGTTATATTTTTCACCCATGGAATTCACCATTTTTTCACCTTGCTGGGTTAATGACACAGTTGTGTCTGTTCTGTATTGGAATCTACAGAGGAAATGCAGGAAGGCTAAATTTACCCCAGCCCAGTTTTTTTTATCATATTGTGCTTGACTGGTGTAATGCCAGACTGTGACTGTGTAGGCTGTAATTAAAAAAAAAAAAAACAGTGATGGATCATTTACCGCATGACAAAAAGAAGGGCACAGTGGGAACGTGCCAAACAAAACTTCTGAAGAACCTATGTGTGCACTCAATATTTCTCCCCTTATCACTTTTAGTCATTTGTATTTATAAGCAAAATTGACGAAGGCTTTAGCAGGTGATTGTTACCTTCGCAAGCTAAAAGCAAATGCCGTGCTGACAGTTTTTATCCACACAGTGCCTAAACCTCACCTGGTGACTCAAAAGTGAGAGACAGATCAGAGACAGGAAGTGTTTGGAGCTCTATGAAATGATAACGGAGCTATTGATACAGCTGCCAGTACTGAATGTGAAACAACCAATCTGACACTGGACGGAAGACCTATTATGACTTGGACAAAACAAAAATGATTGGCCACTGCTGCAGTTCACTTCAGGGAAATTTATTGTGCTGTTCTTCAGGCTTCAGGTGAACAAAAGAGGAGATGTGCAGTGCATATATAGAGGACGTCCAAGGCAGGTTAAAAAAAAAAAGAGAAAAACCAAAACAGCAGTACCTTCACTGCAAAAAGTCCACATTGCAAAGCTATCGGCTTTTCAATGTGACCTCTTGGGAGTCTAACCACAGACTGACTCCCTGTGGTCCTGAGCCCTTCTTTATAGCCACAGACTCCGCCCACAGGAACATAACACAAAGAAAAAAAATAAAACAGTTACTTCTAACTAAATAATCATAGCACTGAGAAAAAAAACAAACTTGTGACCAAAAATACAATATTTAATTTAATAGAAAACACTCCATATGTTCTGATGAGCTACACAGCGGATGAGCTCATATAATGAGCTCATCCGCTGTGAATCCTTCCCAGTGTGCCACAATTCCGAAACTGTTTGAAAATTTGAACCGGGAAAATGTTTGACGCTGAAAATAACAAGTTAGGATGGATATATAGATACAGGAACACCACGTGTGCACCACAATGAACTGTGCCAGTTTGAGTTGAAACAAAAAGTAAGTTGTCAGTTGTGCGAATGTGTGTGCGTGTGTATGTAAGTGTGCAGGTGTGCTTCCTTGCTGGCACTTTACTACATCCTAGCTCGTGATGACTCCTCTGCCACGATGACCAGTGGGAGTCTGGATGTAATCTCCATCTATATTCCAAGAAAAACAATAATAAAATCAACTTTGTGTTTTTCAGGAAGTTCGTCTTATTGATTATGAGAAGATGGTTGACACCAATGGTTACCGTATTGTAGCATTTGGCCAGTGGGCTGGGGTTGCAGGTATGTTAGGTTCTCCTCTGTTTGTTTCAGCTGGTTGGTCATTTCTCAGCATTCCTTAGGCATAATCAAACATTATGATGAAACTGTAGCAAAGGAGTCATACTTTGTAATGAAATCAAATTTCACCTAATTGGAACCAGATTTTATTGGAGCTAGGTCTTAGGCCCGGTTCACACTGAAGACCTTAAAGTGTCACAGACATGACTTGCATGACTTGAAAAGATGAACTACTGTGCTTTCATCCTGTGTACACAAAAGTTTTTAATACTTTTTCTCACAGTCTACTATAAATTCCTCAGGATTGCAGAGTGATGTTGTTATTACCAAGTACTACCGGGTAACTACTCAGTTGTGAGGATTTCAGCAAAGATTTGAGCAATTTATCCAAAACTGCACATAAATCGCTCAAATATTCACTGAATCCTCACAACTTCCTCTGTTTCTGTGCATTCGGCCTGAGTTGTTTGCGGTTTGACTTACCCTCATTACATCACAAGAAGGTGCTGGTGTAAACTACCCAGTTACTACAAAGGAAAACAGCGACACTCTGCATTGCTGTGGAATTTATAGTAGTCTGTGAGAAATATTTATTATTAAAATAATAGAATGAAAGCACAGTAGTTCATCTTTTGAAATATTGTAAGTGATTTTATCGAGTCAGTGACTCAATTCCGATTTTATTTTATTTTTTTGTGAAATCTGATTTCTTTATTTTTGTGTGTGTGTGGTTGTTCACATTTCCAAATAAATGTGACATGTATGTGATGTGCTGTGTGAGCTACAAATGACCTAAAAGCTTTCTGCATGTACAGCAGAGGATGCCGAAGAAGAAGGAGTTTTATTTATATAGCACTTTTTCAGCAACAAGGCGGATCAGAGTTCGTAACATCACACATAGCGAGCGTGCTCAGTAGATATAAACATGGATAATGGTGTAAAATAGCATACCTTGTTATTTTAAAGTTGTTATCCACCCACAGCCAGCGCATTAACAACTTGATCCTCATTATCGTCCACCATGTTTGTTGCTTTTCCTCATTCTTCCGTGTATCAGAATGCCGAATAGTGATGTTTATCAGTGATGTACAGGTCGGATGAATGCCACCTGGCCATACAGACACGGGTCACATTTGATCAGAGAAGTGTCGGATTTAGGACTACATATCCAAGTGCACTGGGTTGCATTTGTACAAATCCGATTTGTGGTGTTCAGGCTGACATGAAAAGATCGGATTTCAATCACTTCAGGCTGCAGTGTGAACATAGCCTTAGATTTTAGGGAGACCAAACAGAAAACCAATTTTTGGTTGTTAAATGAATGCAAATTCCATTTAAAATGATTAAAAGTAATTATTTTGGTTATTATCTTTTTCATCAATCTAGGTATATTATTTATATATATATATATATATATATATATATATATATATATATATATACTATATATAGTATATTAAAATGAAAATAACTCCACTTTCTTGTAGGAATGATTAACATTCTTCATGGTTTGGGACTTCGTTTCTTGGCTCTTGGCCACCACACTCCTTTCATGGTGACAAATCTATTCTTAATTCATTTGATCTGAATCTGCCCAGAAATGTTTCACAGGATCAAACAGAAGCAGTCACCTCTGCTCTCTGATGTTCACAGCACATTGGCATGGCACACAACTACAGGAACGTCAGCCAGGCCATCCAGGCTGTGAGGGATTGTGGTTATGAGATTTCCATGGGACTCATGCCCAGATCCATTGGCCCCCTCACCTTTTGCTTCACTGGAACAGGAAATGTCTCCAAGGTACACAAATGTTCAATTCAGTTTGAATATTCAAACATTGAGAATGGAATTAAAAGCAGCTGAAGCTAAGAGAAAATCCCTGATCTTTATTTTTACATTCATTTTGTATTTTGTATTCCTTTAGGGAGCCCAAGATATGATCAATGAGCTTCCTGTTGAATATGTTGAACCTCACGAGTTGAAAGATGTCTCTGAAACTGGAGGTATGATGTTTCTTCAGCAGTTCTCAAACCTTTCAGACTGAGCTCCAACATTGAATAAAATGGCCACAGTCTCGCTTACACAATGGAAAAATGGCTTCTGTGCAGTATCACATGTTTATCACTTTGCCCTTCACTAAAAATTTGGTTGTGTCTTGCTAAAATAAAGAAAAAATAATTTTACATTCATGTAATTATGAGCCAGGAACAGCTAAACTAAACCTGTTTTTAAGAGTCATAAAGTTCATTTGTGGAACGAATCTAATAAATTTATTGAACCTTTTTTATTTCAACAAGCAAATTCCTTCTGATTTCATTATTGTCTTAAACAGATCAACATGGCCACGTTTACATGAACATGAACGGCCAATCAGAATGACAATGCATCACATAAATACCACAATCAGAATATTCTGATCAAATTAAGATCTATTAAATTGTAATCTGAATGAGAGGTATAGTTTGGGACAATTGATAATTGGTTACCAGCGGTGAGTGGAGATCAAAAGATTGAGATCACAGATGCAAGCAGCTGAAATGAGTTTCCTCTGCAGGGTGTCTGGTCTCTCCCTTAGAGATAGAAGCTATGACGGGGACTCAGATTAGAATCTCTGCTTCTCCTCATCCAGAGGAACCAGTTGAGATGGCTCAGCATCTGGTTAGGATGGACACCTCCTTGGTAGGAGACCCAGAGGATGACCGAGGAGGGACGACTTTCCTCAGCTGGGGAACCTTCATTTATGGCGGTTCCCCGGAGAGAGGGAGGTCTGGGCCTCCCTACTTGGAGACCTGTAACCCGATCCGGATAAGGAGAAGAAAATGGATGGATGTGCATGTCAGTGTTTCTGTCCTGAATAAAGCCTGGGGCATGTAAATGCATGTCATGATTAGTTAATTATTAATTATCAATGAATTTTGTGCTCATATAAACAATGCATTTGGATTATTTAATTCAAATACATTTTAATCTGATGAAGGATCACTGCACATGTACACAATCAGATTGTAGGATAAAATAAATCCATTTAGTTCAGTATGTGTTGTCTGACAAAATGTGTCGACTTTAAACTTGGTGTTGTGTTCTAACAGCACACTAACAGAGTTGTTCTTCATAGATATGAACAAAGTGTATGCCACAGTTCTGAGCCGACGCCACCACCTGGTGAGGAAGAGCGATGGCAACTATGATCCCATGGAGTATGAGAACCACCCAGAACTCTACACCTCACACTTCAGAACCAGCGTGAGTTACTTTTCTTCACTCCCCCTCCTTGCAACGCCTCCATGCAGCCTCCCAGGAGCTCCTGTCAGTCACTTTGAGCTCTCATGTTCCATTCAGCAGCAGGAACTAATATCATAATGTCCAGCAGTATGAAAATTAAAAACTGCCCTAATTAAAAACTATAGTATAATAGCACTCTGTACACAGGATATTTATCCACATTTTGTGGGTAAATGATTGGTGTGTCAGATATGAGATGTTGACAATTTCTAAGTAAAGAAACAAAGGGTTACCTTTAGGTTAGTAAACCTGACATTGTTTTCTGTAATGCTTCCAACATACACACAATAATGCTTCTTGTGATATTCTTACATATTTTAATATATTTGTTGCTTATATTGTTGTGCAATATTGCTTTTAGGTAAAATGGCAAAAATAGAAAATAGAAATTCAACTTAGAGCTCCTTGATTATGACAAAATTGTTTTTGTCAATATTAAATATTTAAGCAAGTATTCACTGGCTTGGAAGAACAATAAATTTATTGTTAAAGGGCTATAGGGCTATGTAGAATCAGATTTTTAAGCTTTAGATTGTTATTCCCTCATCAAAATCATCTCCAGTGTTCCTTTGATTCTTTCATGCATCTTTGAGAAATTCTTTAATCTCCCATGGCAACCATTAAGCTTTGCAAAATTCCTGGTTGGCATTCAGCTCCTCTAGACTAGTGGCAGCAGCTGTTATCAAACACCTGGCGGACCTCATCTGCTGAGCTCATCATAGAAAGCTTCTCAGTCCAATGCTCCTAAGAATGGTTGTAAATGACATCATGGAGAAGCACGGTTATGATGATGTGCTGAAGTCAAAATCTGGGAGCTTCTTAAGAGACAGAGACCCAATTTCAAGGTGACAAATTTGCAAAGTCAAATTTCTTTTAAAACCTCCTGACTACCAGTACTTCAAATTTGTCCTCTGTAGAGGACATTTCTAAACTTGAATATCTCCTACCTACTGTATTCTACTGAATTAATTCCTTTTGGTATCTGGAGAGGACATTTAGGGCTTTTCAATGATACCACATGTGAAGGGGTGGGACTTTTATATGTACCTTTTTCTCATTCATAAAAATGGCATACATCAGTACAAGCATATTTTATGGGAAAAGAAAAAGTAAGTGCATAAAACTTTTTATTGTGCAAATTTTGGTTTAAAATTTTGTTGGCATATTCTAAATAAGCCTCTTAGTAAAATATTAAAACATTCTATGAATTATTTTGACTGTATTTTATCATAGTATTTAAAAGTTGAAAAATTGTCCTCTGTAGTGGACATTTGTAATTATTTTTCTGTTTTGTTCTCCATCCATCCATCCATCCATCCATCCATCCATCCATCCATCCATCCATCCATCCATCCATCCATCCATCCATCCATCCATCTTCTGTACACCCTTGTCCCTATTGGGGTCAGGAGGTGCTGGTGCCTCTCCAGCTAACGTTCCGGGTGAGAGGCGGGGTCACCCTGGACAGGTCACTAGTCTGTTGCAGGGCAACACAGAGACAGACAGGACAAACAATCATGCACACACACACAATTTAGAGAGGTCCTTTAACCTGACAGTCATGTTTTTGGACTGTGGGAGGAAACCGGAGTACCTGGAGAGAACCCACCATGCACAGGGAGAACATGCAAACTCCATGCAGAAAGACCGGGGCTGGGAATCGAACCCAGAACCTTCTTACTAGGCAACAGTGCTCAGTTTTGTCAATGTGAAATCCATTCTTATGGATATTTTCTTTGGGACAAACTGGTTGCCATCAAGGTTCAATTTCAAATGTATGGCATTCCGATGTCCACTGTAGTGCACACGATATTTCAAAAATAAAAACTTTTTTCCCCCCAAAAAAAATGCTTTCAGTATTCTAATTACCTTACAAAGATTGTGAAATTAAAAAAAATGGTGATTGGACAATATTTTTCTTCCTGGTAGTCAGGAGGTTAAGTCATTTTTGATATATACTGCTACATTTTTACAGCTGAAGTTAACTTTATTGTACCATATAATGTATAATATACATAATACTGCCCCTTTAAAACAAGGAGAAGTTTTCCTAAAACCTTTTTGTTGTTTCTTCCCTTAGTCTTTATTTAAATGTTGATATTGTGTAAAGGCGCAAATAAAATCAATAATTAACAATCCCCTCAGGATGTTGCTATCACAACTATAAATGCAAAAAATTCAGGTCTTGCCCACATCTAGTCTGCATTTTGATCAACAAAATATATTTTTATGTGACTTAACTTTTCATCTACATGTAACCTCCGTGTAATAGAACTAAAAAACGAATGATAATAAAAACTCCAGTCACATGGGAAACCAGTGACTTGGAGCTAACACATACGGTAAGGGTCTGCAGCAAATAATGTGATGCTGATGTGACATATGGAATTATTTTTACTGCTTGACCTTGAAGTGGAGGAAAGACATTATTATTTACTTATTATCCTTCCCCATTCGAGCCACAATGCTGTTCAACCTCCATGTGTGTCCACATACCTGCTTTAACAAGATTCCCAGTCTACACTGACTTGGCCAGCTTTAGGTTAACTGTATATTGTAACACGGTATTTAAAATTAGTTCAAATTCTTTGCCTGTCCACACAAATAATTCTCCTGGCATCATGTTTAATTCCTAACATTATGTAGTCGTTATTTTGAAGGCAGTGTAGGTTTTGCCCTACACTGCCCCCGATGGGTGTGGCATGTTTAAAGCAACGTTGTAATTCAGCGGTCCGTGTGAAGGAACATGTTTCTTAAACCAGTCAGGTGTGGACGAGATTATTTTACACAAATGAATATCTCCACTACATTGTTTTAAAATGACCTGGCTACACATCGACAAGGCCTTAGTCATCATTCAGAGTTTATACGCTGACTTGTAGTTTTCACCAATCATTGCAACTTTTCAGCAAATCTGACAAATCACCTTGTTTTCTGCTTTTTCTTCTTTTCTGACCAATCACTGCATTTGGCTGAATTTTGATCAATCCCCTTAGTCTTCTTCTAATTTAACTTCTAGTTTCATTACGTCTCTTGAAAGCTGAACCTGCAAGATGAAAGCATGTGTAATTTCTTTTATTTTTTAGTTTTTTGCAAAAACCATGTTGAGATGTTGTGAACAGTTTGCTTTTACTGTTTATACAGTCAGTGGGTGTAACATGTGGGACATCTCCCCTGCACTTCCTGTGTCTGTGCCCTTTGTGGCCTGCACTTTTTAAGATGTCCAAATGTGATTTTCTGAACTGTCTTTAAATGCACCACGAGTGAATGCCGGTTGCACCCGTGGTGTTAGGATGTGTAATGTTCAGCAGGTAGCCAGAGTTAAAAGGCAAAAAACTTTTGGTTTCAGATAATGTTTTCTAAATGATGGTTAATATCATATTAAGCTAAATATACTAATGTTGTCATTACACATGTTTCTTCCCTTGCCATCTAGTGCCAGGAATAAACCCAATCCTCTTTAATTTCTGTAAAGAAGATGTGCTCACTGTTGCTTTTCTGATATTTAAAAGAAATCTTTATTGTCACAATAGAAAGACTCAGGGAGGAGACTTAGAGCAGAGGCCAGCAGCAGGACGCTGATGCAGGGTCTTCTCAGGTAAGGAGGGATTAGAACTTGCTCAGAAAAAGACAAGGAAAGGGAAGGCTCTGTGTCTCAATTTCAACTTTTTTTTATGACCATTTTAGGGCAAAAATAAAGCTGAAATAATTAGCATCTTTAACCACAATGTTTTGAAAGAGGTGCCACAAAATCTGTAATTCTTGGCCACAATAATGATAAAAATAGTGCAACATCCTGGAGGGGCTGATTTAAGATAATAAAAGATAATGCTTTATTGATCCACTAAAGTGGGGAAATTATGTTTGTCCCAGTATGGCGCACAATAATAAATAAAGTAGTAATAATAATAATAAATATATGACAATAACTAACAATTAGCAGTGATAGTCTTAAGGACATACAAATATCGCTGTATATATTGCTAAATCTATATTCAACAATTAAAACGCACATCTCTAAACTATGTGAGTATTATAAAGTCTGATAGCCTCAGGTAGTTCAGTTTAATTTAGTGCCTCTTCATAGTCTCTGAAAAAGATTAAAATATCAAAAGAAAAATTGAATAATTAAACACATGACATAGAAAATAAATAATTGTAAAAATGTTTAAATTTTATTGCACTAAGCAGTTGAAGGTATCATGTATTCAAATTTGGGCAGAATATAATCCATAAACTGTGTTCCTTGCTCACTTGAAATTCCTGAGGCTTGCAGACACCACTAGAGGAAATCTTGCCCCTTAAGTATTTTTTTGTGTCTGTGTCTTTAAAGTGGCCCAGGATTAGTTGAACATGTTGGCCTAAATATGTCGTAATTTTCCTGTTAGCTAAAAAGTTTCTGATCACACAGGCCGACCAGAGGTACGCGCCATTTATTGTTTCGTTTATGAAGCTGAAGGTAACAGCAGCAGCAAAACACTAGCTTCGTTGACCAACTCTGTCCTCTTCCTCTGTTTGGTTCTCCTGATCTTCATCACCTCTTGTGCTTTCTACATTCCCATCGACTTGAAAGCGCTCCAGTTTAAATTAAAAAGGCTTAAAGACGTTACTCATCACTGTTTTGGCTGGATAGAGCTAGAACAGTTGGACCTGTACAAGTCATTTACCCAGAATGCATTGCACTGTGAACATGGCAACTTTCATATGACAATATTTTATTAAAATTTATAAAAACTAAACAATCTACAGTATTGTTACTGTATTTTTAAATACAATAACTAATGATACAGTTAACAATAACTAATCCTTGATCAGTTATTGTTACAATTAATCATTGATCCCTTTCAATGCAGAGTGTGTTGGGTTTGTTTGTTGTCCTGCTACAGGAGCCGACGCTCATTTCTCCTCTTTGTTGTTTTGAACCTTGTAGTTTCGGTAATTCGGTTCCCCAGCTGTTTGGTGCAGGATGTTCCATAGCAACCATGCTCGACTTTCT